CAAGTAGGCTTTGCCGCTGTTTGTCAAGCCCTGCTGATATGTGTATGATATAATGCAAGAACAGTCCCAAAGCACCACACAGAAATTATAATGAGTCAGATGAAATATGTGCAAGCAGACCTAACTTTTCAAGGACTTCACAAACTATATCAAAAGCAAAAGATGTGAGTGTCTTACAGTTTAAAAAAATTAAGTCATTTTCTGTATTGTTTATGTGAAGAAACACATTTAACTAAATCTTGTTTCTATTGGATTGATCTTTTACACAGTTTCTTACTTAACACAGAAGAATGATGCTACATGTGGAACCTCTCTAGTCCAGCACCCTCAGGACTTGACTGGTTCCAAACCAGGGAATTTGCCGGATCATGGGAGGTCAATATTGTCTAGCAGCATTACCAACACTTCCACTGCTTACTGGGTTCTTAGAAAACATTTAGGATACTTCTAGACTGTCCTCTCTTGCACAAGAAAAAATGCAAATAAGGTGAAGCGGTGAATATCGCCACACCTCATCTGCATGCTTAATGAGCTGCTATTTTGCGGATGGGGCTTTTGCGCGAAAAGGAGCTGGGTAGACGGCTCCTTTTTGCACAAAACCCCCTCTTGCGCAAGAGCCATCTTTCCTGGAAAAAAAACCAGCTCCTTTTTGCGCGAAAGCCCCTTGTGCAAAAATGGCAGTTCATTACGTATGCAAATAAGGTGTGGCGATATTCACCGCTTCACCTCATTTGCATATTTTCTTGCTCAAAAAAGGGCAGTGTAGACATAGCCTTAGGGGTAAATTAGAGCTAAATAAACTGGCACAGATGGGGAAAGACTGATACAGAGGCAGCAGTGTGGGATGGCAAGCAACTTCCCAAGAGCCAGGTGTAGCCATGTGGTAGTTTGGGTTATCGATTACCTGTTTGCAAGGTGACACTCTTACATCCTTAGAGGTCAATGTTTTATTTAGTTTAGCTAAACAATGAAATGACTACACTTCAAAAAAATGTCACTTTGATAATAATGGGGAAAAAACTGGAACTTTGCTAAGTCTTACTAATGTTCTCCCTGTGAAACCATTTTTATGCCAGGATATTCAAATTGTTTTTTGGCCAGGAGAAGCTTGCTTTTTTTTCTGTCTTACGCATGTGTGACTCTATATGAAAAGATAGACAGCTGAGAATAATACCTTACATTTTAGTGGAGTTCAGAACCATGTTTTCAAAATTTCTTTTCATTTTGTTTATTATTTCAGCTGATCAGCAACATTAAAAGTGCTAACATATTTTGTTTGAATAATTCCCCTCTTACCATTTTTAAAGTATGCCTCTTCTCAAATCTCAGTTACAGAATCACAACCTTCAATTTTAGATGTTCACAATACTTGTTACAAAAGAAATATTTTTTTCCTCTTTGACAACGTGTCCAGGCAACAGGAATATTCAAAAGCAGGGATGCCCTGTAGAGTCAGCAGCTTATATCAGCCTTTCATTGCTGTTACATTTCACAGAATATGAAACATTTTAAAAGACAAATCTATTTGTCCTTCACATCACTTTTCTTTAGGCATGTTTTCAGCAGAAAAATCCAGCAGTGGTCAGCAACATGTGTTGACTATGGAGACAAGTTAGAAACAGTGACTATGCAGAATTGAGGGCAAAAGCAATCACAGACAAGCATCCACCTTCAACAAGTCCAGCATCCAAATCACATTCACATTGTAGTAATTATGTATAGGCATAAGAAAGAAGAATTTCCTAAAAGGTAGAAGTTCAAATGGCATGCTACACACACAACATGCTTGTACATGAACTAGGCATGTTAAATATCAGTTAATTGAATAGTCGATTAACCTCATGAATTCTTATCTGTTATTCGATTTCTCTATAGTCTCTTGCCCCACTCCCAAGTAGTCCCCTGCCACTCCATGCTGCTGTCTCCGTAACTCCCACTGTGGCTCTGCATTTAAAGTGTATTAGGAGCCAGGTGGACAGGCAGCCTGGGAGCTGTATCAGAGGCATCAGCACACGATGCCAGGCAAGAATGGGTCCGCGAGGGGAGCCAGTTTAAAAACCAGCTCCCATCACGGACTGGCTCCCTGTTTCCCCATGCTACTGCCTCGGATACAGAGGCAATAGCATAGGGTGGCAGCAGCCCCTGTCCGGAGGGGGGGGGAGGGGGAACGACAACTGAGCTCCCGGAACTGGTGCGAGCCAGAACTGAGCCAGGCTGCCTATCCACCTGATTCCTAATACCCTCACTGCAGCTCTGCATTTAAAGTGCAAGTCCTGGATCTGGCCCGAGACAGGACTGTGCCTGGCTGCTGGCCAGCCTGCTAACAAATTTTCTGGATTGGGCAGAGGGAGGGAATGCATGTAATCTATAGCATTAACCAATAAGCTTTTGCTCATTAGTTGATCAGTTATTCCCTAACATGAACAGTTGGTTATTTACACATCATGTGTACCTATCCAATTTCTGTAGTCTCCCAAGGTTTAATTCTGAACCATTCAACTGAGACATCAATTAGGATGGGCTGCAGGGGACAGATACACCCTTCCAAGGTTTTTGCACTTGCTTGAAGTTCCATAGGCTACAGAGCCAGGCAGCCTACTCAAGCAGTGGTCCTGTCCATCAGAGCACTGTTCCCACTACATAGTTGCAACAGAAGTAGAATTTGATCTAGGTGCCTTTCCATCCTACACCTGCATAGTTAAAAACAAGATATAACTGCGTGGGAAAGTGCATATATAAAGTGTATTCCCACACAGGAAGGGGAATAAATAATTCTGGTGTAAGACACCTTTAACTACATCCACATATAGGGATGTACTAGCATATCAGTTTAGAAAAATGGTATCTATAAACTAGTGTTCCCTCTAAGCTGCAGGGCAGCACAGCTTCACAGGTGAAATCCACCCCACTCTGGCAGTCAGCTCTGTGCACTGAGCCCTGAGCCTCTGACTGGTTGGGGCTGATTAATCACCTGTGAAGCTGTGCAGCTTAGAGTGAACACTGTCCATGACCAAAATATTTATACTGCTACAAAAATAATATGTAGATTAGGCCTTATTTAAGGTAAAAGCAGAGTTAAGAGATCTGGCTCTGACCCAAAACAGACTAACTTTGCCATAAAAACAGACTCCATGTATGACCTTGGATAAATTATTTATGCCTACTTTTTTACAAATGTCTACAACAGTTACACATACAAATCTAATTCCACCCATGCATTCCTTTCTACTTGTACATGCACATCTGCTGTTTTGCATGAGTGTAAAAAAGTGTATACATTTTTAAAAGAGTGGGTCTTAGCTTCTCTGAGCTTCTGTTCCATCCATTCTCTGAGAAACGGGGATATTTACTTTCCTTAAGTTGCTGTTGAGAAGCTTAATTCATGAAAGCTTTCAGATTCTCAGATGGAAGAGGATATAGAAGTGCTAAGTATTTTTACAGAATATTCCCAGTGAGACAATTTCTGTTTCCCTCTTGTCTGAATGGATCTTTCCCAAATCACATCATTGAATGTTATTTTAAATGATATTGCTGAACCCCCATTCTCGCTTCAATAAAACCAACTCTATTTAAAAATTGCTACTATTCATAAATTTATGTTTAAAATATCTGAACTTCAGAAACAAGCCCATCTTCCAAATGTTGACAGTCATTTTCACTGCTGAGGTCTATACCTGCATTGCTTTTCCAAACAGTGGTTTTTGGCTCTGCATCAGCCAATAATAGGGTACAAAATCATTTTTTGAGGGGGCTGCAAATTTTTTTAATCTCATTATATAAGCCTAAATTCAGATCAGATGCAAATGGATGTGATTTCATGGAACTGAAGATTTATAATATTTATACCAGAACTATATTTGATTTAGAGTTTATATATTTGAAAAAAAATAAAGATTCTTGGACTTTTCCTTTTCCCATAACTAGGGATGTTAACTATCATTTACATGTAAATGTGTAACCGCTGGAAATTCTAGTGGTTACACATTTACATGCATGAGGAGCCGGCGAGAGACAGTGCTTGTGGGGAGCCTGCTTTTAAGTCAATTCTCCCCAACACCGGCTCCTGCCTGCTCCTCCCTGTGCTGCTGCTTCTGTGGAGGGGGAGGCGACTCTTCAGAAACCAGTACACGTGGGGAGCCTTAAAAGCTGGCTCTCCACACATGCTGGCTCTGTGAGAGCCATATGTCCCCCCACCCCACCACTCACTACCTCTGGGGTCGGGGAGTGCATGTAGTCAATATGATTAATCAAAAGCCCAGGCTTATTGGTTAATCGTGTAATTAACTATATGCTAACATCCCTAATCATAACTATTTCAAGAAAGAAAATATTTTGAATCAGAAACCCTCCTTTAATGTTTACTGTGAGAAGCAAAACAAAATTAAACAAAAGCCTCACTGGTATGGTCCCTGACTGAGGAGGAAAAAGACACTCCCCATGTTTCCCTTGCACACCAGAGACCGGGGGGCCCAGGTTAGTAGAAGTTGTGTGTTCCAGCCCTGTGGGAGGACAGCAGAGGGGCTGGAGTGCCATTGGCAGCTCCTCAATGCTGGGAGGAAGCCCCAAGCTTTGGGGGCTGGATTCAGGCAAGCAGGGTCCTGCATCTGCCCCACCCCCATACACACCTTGGGTTCCCCACCCCTTTATTAGAGTGTTTAAAAAAATCTGAAAAGCATTTCAATATTGAAATTTACAATCTTTGTGAACTTCTCTATTGAAAAATCTCTGTGCCCTTTATACAGAATTCCTATGCAAAGAGCCATTGATAATAGACTAAAAAGCCTTACAGAGAAAGGGCAATGAGAGGGTGGGGTCAAATACATTATTTGAAAAACACAACCTTAATTTATTTATTCCCATTTTAAACTATATGTCTTAATGGAGCCGTTTTATATAAACACTCTTTTCCTATGAAGTGGAACAGAGTGCAGCAGACAGCAAACTAACAGGAACAAATTTCAGAGATGAGGAGAGTAAGGAGACAAGCACATATGACTCACACAATATACATAAATCTTGCATCCTGAAAATGGGACCAGATGTGTAGGGCACAGACACTTGAATCCCAGAGAGTGCTGTATTATTTTCCATTGAATATTTATACTGTCTTCTGCTGTCCACAGCACACTAAAACACAAAAAAACCACTGTCACCATGCCACAGAGTTGTTTATGGTCAACAGTATATGATCCAATGTAAAATGTCAAACTACAGTTTGAAGAAGTCATTTAATTTACATAGCATTCACACCAAAGACTGCCACATGATAAACAATACCCCTCCCTATTAGAAAAGTGAAGCCTGAGACAGAATAAAATATTCATTACCACTAATGCAGACTATTCCAAACTCAGCAAGACACTTGACCATATTTTAAAGCACCAAGCTAGCTTGTAAATACTCTAGAGCACAGCTGTGTAATAAGAACTAATCTGAAATCTTAAAGCAAATTTAGAGTAAAATCAAAAGAAAAAAACATCACAATAGGAGGAAGGAGGGTATGTGTGTGGGAATATTGAATTTTCCAGTTCTGGAGCAGAATGCTAAGATGCAGTTATGTTTTGCTGTAATCTAGATAATGAGATTCCAGGATTGTCATTTAGAATCCTATAAATTCTGTAGAGTCAGTGTGACACTATGGAAACAGCTACAAGCATGGCTGTTAGCCCATTTTGTTCAGAATATCACCTGCTTCAATCACTGGGATTCATGGTATTTACTGTCCAATTTTTCAGTTCTCAGCCATGTTGACTTTACAAATTACATTCAAGGGACAGTAAGGCATGTATCTATGTCATGCCAGGAATCCTGGACCTTTGTGATATCTGAGGTAAATCAACCAACCATCACCCATACATTCAAATAAGGTGTAGAGTAGCACTGTCATTGGCTGAGTGACATTGCACAGATGGTGAATTACTTGGCTCAACTGCCACAATTCTTCAAAACGACCCACACAACAGCAAGCACAATCAGCATACACAATAACCCCAAAATGTATGCAGAACCTCACAACGTACACCCGTCATTTGCCACCCACATAAATCACCCAGCACAACACAACCTATATACAAATCAACACAACTACCCTAAACATTGCTTTGAAGCCTAGAATGCCTATTGAATCACTGAGGCAAAGAAAATAACTACAAGCTTGGCTGAGAACTCTGTTTAGAGTATCTTCAGGTTTAATTATCACTTTCTAATACAATCCAATTGTTAAGTTCTGAGCAATTTTCAGTTTTTACATACATAACTTAAAAAATTACACCTAGGCAATAGCATGGGCTTTCAGTTACTAGTTTCTGAAATGGCTTTTCACTATAATATCTGTTGGAATATTTGACTGTATACCTCAATTGACAAAAGGGCCAACCTTACACAATATTTCCCATTATTAGCAGATACTGTGCTAAAAATGATATGAAAACACAGCAGTAACTCAGAATTTCATACCTGACTTTATTGTATTGTAAGTCCTATGAAGTTAATGACATCCATCATTTGTTTGTTATACAGAAGTGATCCAGTCACTCACTTTTTGTTATCCTTTCTAGTATGTGAAAGTATGCTATTTTTCATCTATTGCTCACTCATTAAAAACTAGCTTCTGTGGAATATTCATCATAATACCTAACAGACTGTGTAGAGAATCATGGAGGGCCATATTACTTCTCAATTAAAGACTGGAAGTACCGCTGCAAGTTAAGTATCAACACATAGGGGTATGTAATCCTATCCTTGCTCCTACTTAAACGTTGGTTCTTGCACTCAGTATACCTATTAAATGCCTAGTTAAATGGCTTGGAAGGCTAGGCTTCTACTATAGGGCTGGTACAGATCAATCAAGGCTGAACCATCCATATCTGGGACTCTCCCGTCCAGCAACATCCATGGTCTGGCAGGGCCATGGATGTTGCTGGACCAAAGAGCCCTGAAGGTAGGAGCAGGAGCCAGCTGAGAGAAGTGGGGGCACTGGGGAGCCCCGGCTGGGCCAGCAGCAGCTGGGCCAAACAGCAGATGGGGAACTCCCAACCTGGCTGAGGAACCCCTGGTATCAAAGGGGCTAGATGCCAACTGGGGAGCTCCCACACTCCCTGGGGAAACCTGATGTCAGCTGGGCCAGGGAGTCCCAGCCTGAGCCAGCAAACCCCCGGCTGCAGCAGGGCTGCCGGCAGCAGGCGACCTGGCCAAGGAACCCCAGGAAACCCCTTTTGGCAGCAGGGCTGCCAAGTTTTCCCGGTTGGGGGATCCCCAGCGGCAGCGGGACGCCCCCAGCCAGGAATCCCGGGGACCCTGGGGCAGCGGGAGGCAGCAGGATGGAGAGCACCTCCTGGGCCAGTGTTAGCAGGGCTGTGGCAAGGCAGGAAGCCCCAGGAAGAAGAGCCCAGGAGCGGGGCAGCCAGCAGGGGAGCACTGACCTCCCCATGTCCAGCAAACTCTCTGGTTTGGCACAGTTCAGGGCCCAAGGGTGCTAGACCAAGGAGGTCCAACCTGTAGTAAAAACAGAAGACAAGAAGAGAACTTGGACCACAGACATTAAGTTACCAAGCATGAATTCTAGATAAGCATTAACAGGCTACTGAACTGGCTCCGAATGTCAGCGTGATCCACTGGTGACAATAATGTATCATCGTACTCTATTTTCAGCTATATTAATTTCAGGTACTTAGAATTATGAAATGCTGGAATTTTCTTTCAAATAAACAATATTAAAACTCCAAGGTAGGATAGCACAATTTCTCCTTTTTAATATTCCAAATATATATTACTATAATTATTTTTAACACTGCTATTTTAGTATGCGTGGCATGACTGCACTGAGGAAGTGGAAGTACAAGAAAAACTGGAGTCTGTCTTTCTAAATCTTAAATTAAAGTTTTTTTACGTGCTACCTAAGGTACAGAGAATACTGTTGCCAAGGAAGCCCTGAGGTCAGTAGATAAACAGCTGACAAATATTTTACATTCTCAACCATAAATTACCTACAGAAATGCTGTCTACCAAATGAAGAAGAAATTAATGACTAAGAAAATATTTATATAGTTTACAAGTTAACCTCTATTTTAGGTCACTATGGTCACCCCTCCTTGCAACAGTATTTTCTCATTGCCAACATATTTCTAACCCAAAAGATAAGACTGTAAATTTAAATGTAATTAACTCTTAAAACATGCCCCCTCAAATCCATAAGTGGCCTTTTATGGTCACATCAAGCCTCACTGAAGTCACTAGGACTCTGAGCAGTTATGAGGAGGTTGCACATTTGGATCCCAGTGCAAGATCAGGGCTGTACACAAGTAGACTGGCTATCTTGATTCTTGTCCAGAAATTGGAGACAAAGTCTAATCAATGGTAAGAGGAGTTTTTAGAAAATGATTAAGAATAATGAGAAAGGACTACTACTAAAATATATTTCCTGTATTAATGACTTGAGACAAAATTTACTCCCTACTCCAATTACAGGTGGATTTATACGTTTCTTTTTGAACAGCAGATGGTGTTAACGAAAAGGAATATTTTCATTTAGTCAATGACAAGACCGAGGTAGATAATTTAAGAGTCCTGAAAATAGCTTCATATTTGCACCATAGGGTCTATTATGATCATTCAGCGATCTGCCTATTTGCCATTCATTTGAAAGCCATAAAACAAAAGACTTAGGGAGAAAATATGGACACTTCTTTAACTCCACAGAAATGCATTGAATTAGAAGAGCTTTCTAGAGGCCCCAAGTAGAAAAGCCATGGCAAATAAAAACACAGTAGTGGCTATCCCATTCCTCCCTAGATCAGTGGGCATTCAATGCCACCTTTTATTCCACTGTTTCTTTCACAGGGCTGGCTGGTCTATGGATGGGGAAATGTTTGTGGTATCTCAGGTCCCACTATAGACTGATATTGATTTTTAATGGGGGGATCACGTGTAGGTATGGATTGGCCAGTATTTGACCTCCTTCCCCTCAAGGGTTATCCTAGGGACAATGCGCCTCTTTAGAGCCATGCTTCTGGCTACACCCTCTCTACTGAAGGCCTCCTCCTGCTGGAAAGAACCACCTCTCCCCTCGCCGGGCGAGTCGGGGCTCGCAGACAGACAAAAACCGGCAGCAGCTCACCTAACTCAAGAGACGCTGCCCCCAGCCGCAAACAGGGGGCTCCCCAAGCACCCA